TTTTGAAGGCCAAAGTTTGCCTACGCCTGGACTAGATGCACCACCTGTCTCCTCTGCTAGGTCTCTTGCAACATATGAGACTTTCTGCAACCAGACCTCTGGTCCTTCTAACCCAGCATTATTTCCACAGCAATACAAGGTTACGGGCAGCGATTTCCCCCCCAGGATTTGCCTGGGATTGAACCTGAATAATTGGTTCAACAACTAGGTCACAACTCCCTCCTTTTGTCGGTATCAATGAGTTCTGCGCCTCCTTCTTACCAGCCATCTTAATGCTCTGCGGGACGACCTCGAAGCGGACCACGCGGAAGGTGGGCTCCTGGTTCTCCTCCGTCTCTTCTCTGTGGTAGTAAAGGATGAAGGAGAGGTGGTTGTGCAGGTAGAACTGAAACAGATGGACACAAGGAGGTGTTAGAGGCTCGGACCAGGACAATGAGCGACACTTCACAATGCAAACAACTTGGGAGAACAACTCCATCTGGTGCTCAAATACACGCCTTTGGAGAGTGATGCATCAGGCTGTGATAGGAAGGCACCATGCGAACTATTTCAATGGCTTGCCAATTAGGAATCCTAGGGTTAGGATACATATCACATGCCAAGACTTCCAAGGGACTCCAGCAAACCTCAATGGAGGAGGCAATCATTTTGCATCTGGCAACAGCGACATGGCCAGACCACTCTCCTCAAGCACTGAGTCACTATTTTGTGTACATAGGGCTGCAAGATACTCCACAGTAGATCTGTGTGCTGGTACATCTGTACCAGGAGCTCCAATTTTGTTTGCTTTGCATTGAATGTTTGTTGCAGTTCTAAGTTTCAGGGACTCTGCAGATAGGTGGCTTCTTTTGGCTGCAATCATAGGGCAAGCCACCTGTCAATTATAGTTAGGTTCCCTGGTCCCGCCCCCTTTTTGGGTTTTGGAGGGAATAGGAGCCAGTTTGGGTTCAGTCCACACAGAGAAGCTTTCCATGCAGGACATAATACCAAGAGCTCCTGTAGAAAGCTTTGTCTTCTACGGCTTGGCCGGGGAGATATACAGCCCACAGCTTGGCCGAGGATCATACAGCCTTACAGCTCCTTTGCTGAGGGACTTCAGCCAGCCATCACCAAAACCTGAACTCCTTTTTCCCTGGAAGTCTACAAAGCTCTGCTTGGTAAGGGTCACTCGCGGAAGCCAGACGCAGTTGGTACCGGGTGTAGGGGCTCCACGCCAACAGAGGCAAAGAAAGACTGCCCAGATTAGAAGTTAAGGATTTCCCCATTAGTTAAAATACCAGTCATGAAGATAGTGCCTGTTCCCTGTGGACAAGATTGAAAGAGCCTATAGACTGTTAAGAAAGCCTTGAAATACCTGTTTGTTTTCATTAATAAAGAACTTTGTTGAACCTTTAAGCAATCTAAAGACTTTGTTTTGGGGAGGTCCAAGGGCCTTTAATCTGAGGCAGCCCCGGCGTCCCGTTGGGCACACAGAATTTATGTCCTGTCTACAGTCTTATGCACAGGCCCAGCGTGCGACAGCACAATTGTCATGAGTGGATTGAATGAAATTGTATGATTGGGGTCTGGCTAAAGGTCTATTAAGGCCTGCCAAGACTGAAGAGACACCATCCTATAATTGGAACCTGGAAAACTGCATTATGGAGAAACAAAGGAGGTGATGAAAAGTGCTGATGAAGAAAAACTGCTCAACTACTGACAATAACTGATCTAGGAACTTTTGGGGTAAGCAATACATTTACATGGTCATGGTTATATGTACTTTGAATGTGAAAGGGACCGCTGACCTGAAGGTCGGCAGTTTGAATCCATGGGATGGGGTGAGCTCCCATTGTTAGCCCTAGCTCCTGCCAACCTAGCAGTTTAAAAACATGCAAATGCGAGTAGGTAAATAGGTACCACTTCTGCAGGAAAGGCATAAGACGCTTCAAGCAGTCATGATGGTCACAAGATATTGTTCATGAGCACTTTGTGTCATAACTCTGAAGCTCTATAAAATACTGATGACCGAAATACACATTATCTATCTCAGCCAGTTGTGTGAATAGGTTGGACCGAAAGCGGCACTGGGCTTGGTGGATCCTTTGGCCAACACTATTGCTAGTTGCCCATTTGCCTTCCTGCTTAGTTTCAGGCCTCATCTTAGTTTAGTGACCCAACTAGAAGGGAACATAGGTCTGATATTTCAAATGCTACCCAAAAGGAGGAAGTGAGAGATCCGTGGAAAGACCCAAAGTCCTACTCTTGCCACATTCAAGAGTGTTAAATTGTTTACTGTTTACAACAAGAAGCAGAAGGTGGCCCTTAAGGAACTGAGAAGTCCCACACAACTTAAGACATTGCTCCTCAATCTCATAATGGGTCACCCTGATCCCTCCTCCCCAACTCAGCACTGCCGTCTTCACCTTACTGCTGTCCATGAAGCCGAGCCGGTAGCCATGCTCAAACTGCACATCCTTCTCCTTGTTCTTCTCTTCTTCCTCATGGTTTGAGTAGAACTCCAGCCTCGTCGCCACGGGCAAGTTGTCAGCAATGCTGCAACAACAACAACAAGGCTTTTTGTCAGATCTGCGTGTCCTCTGCCACCCAGTTTGGCCCTGCTGTAAAAAACAGATGCCAGCTGTTGGAACTCAATTAATGTTGTAGTCCTCATTGAGGACTTAAGCAGGTGAGTTCAGCTGGCAGAGAAAAGAGAAACTTTCCAATCTAGTTATATAGTCGCTCTACTGCTGGAATTAGACCAGTCATGGGC